GGCAAGCAAAAGTTTGTTAATAGTAAGTAGTGCAAAGAGAATCTTTAAAAAAAAATCTTAATTGTTTGGATGTTGCGTATCAGTCTTAAGACTACCTTAAAACCCGTTCATGACACGCTAAAGTAAGGCTACAAAAATATAATAAAAAGGGCACATTTTGACACAGTTGAGAAATATTAAAAGCTAAAAAAAAAAAAAAAATTTCTGCATATACCAGAGTTTATAAACATTATAAACTAATTAAAATGCACTCAGGTATATTAAAGTAATTGCTGAGCTATGTATGAATGTTGCTAACTCAGTTTGGTTATAGGCTGCCTCATTCTGTAGAACTAATTGTTCTTAGATTAATCTCATTTTAAGTGATAGACTGTTTCCTTTTAAGCTTAGAATCAATTAAGGCATCTTAAGGTTGTTATGGCAAACTTTCTCACTTTGGTGATTCATGACAAATATATAGTGCGTCTGGGCTACTTCCATTATGTTTATATTACATTTTAGTGGTTGCTTATTTGAAGTAGAGACACTTTACCTCATTTTGCAATCACATAATCAAAAACAAAACCGTTGTGCTGTAGAAATAACAATTCTTTTCTGAGGGCTATGTACATTTATCTCTGGGATTTCAGGGATAAAAGTAACTAATAAAAGTAATTGGCTCCTCTGTGATGATGATAATTTCCAGCCAAAGGTTTTTATGCACATTATAAACATTAATACAACTTCCACTCCCCTGTAATGTAGGTGATATATTTTTCTGTATTTAATAAATGGAGAGTATTAAGCACAGAGAGGTTAACTGTGATAGATTTTTGTCACTGCAGAAATTTATGCTGAATTAATTTCTGATTTTATCTTACTTAATATTGAACTGAAGGCTGAAATTCGTACCAATTTTGATCGACTCTACAAAATGATGTCAAGGCATGAAGAATTCCGATGGATGACGCTACGCATCAGACGAATGGCTAATGCTTGGATTGAAGCAATTAAGTCACTTGCAGAAAAGCAAAACCTGGAAAAAAGAAAACGTAAAAAGGTGACATGTTATTAGCTTCTCTTGGCACTTGAAATATTACAGTCTTCTTTTTAAGCATCCTCTTGTTTGTATATATTCTCTTCCAAAATATCTCTGCTACTTGGAATGATTCTCGCATGTCTGTTATACTTTCAGTGTCAGACTTAGAACAACTGTTTTCACACTTTCTTGGTAACAAAGAAAATACAGGGGTTACTAGAAGTGGAAACCTGACTTTGAATTGTCTGGCAAAAGCATGGACACTGAGGTGCTTTACCTTAATGGTGGGTGTTTTCACACTTTTTTGGATCAGTGCCAGTGTTTTCCAGAAAGTTTTCCTGTTTTAGCATGTGTGAAAACATAAACCTGGGTAATGTTCTAGTCTTTATCCTGTTGTATCGAATCAGGTCAGATTCTAGTGGGGATCTCACTTCAATTTTTGCCAGTTTCTGTTTTGGGATTGTTAATGTTCAGGGTTAGAATGAGGTGTTTTAAGCCAAAGAGGAATATAGCCCTTAGTCAGAGATGCAGGAACTCCCCCCGCCCCAAGTCTTGCAGCTCTTTTCTGCTTGTCACATCATTCAAGTCTGTAGGAGCAGACCATGCTTGCATGCAACAAAAAAAGCCCCAAAATAGCTGGTTTAGCAGCCTAGTTGTATGAGCACTAAGTATTAGTATCCTAAGTTCAGTGCCTTTCACCAAAGGCAGTATGGATCTGGAAACCTGCAAAGTAAAACTCTGCTCCAGGGGAGGTGGGGAGAAGGCTTCTTGTTACTCCCATACAACCATAAGTGATTGGTCTTTGTAGCAGTTAAGTAGCCCCAGGGAAAACTGCTCTATTGTCTTTGGCCAGAGAGTTGAGTTAATGGAAGCTTCCAATGAGAGAGCTTCTTCCCAGAAAAAGAAGAAATACTGTAAATGGCCCTGGTGTTTTTGTAGCTCTATATATTTTTTTTTTATCTTTTACAGGAATTGATTTTTACATATCAGTGTGGTGAAATTGTCAGCTTCACTGAATGTGATACAAGCTGGTAGCCTACATTTTGAATTACCCTCAGCTTTATACAAATTCTTGGGGGCCTCAAACATTAATTGGGCAAAAGCAGGCACTGCATAAAAAGAATCACATTTTTTTTCTCTATATTAATGCCCATTTCCCCCCTTCCAAATGCATTCTTGCATTGCGTCATCTTGTTCTTAAATTGCATTTGAGAATGTAACAGATTAATTCATCCTGACTGAACAATGAGAACCCTGGCTGTATTTAATATGGGATATTTTTATGAAGAATATCTTGAAATGTTATCCTTCACATTTTCAAAAAGTACTCCAGTGGCAGGCAGTAATAGTTCAAAATAAGACAGTGACACTATAATATTGTTGAAAATCAAATTCGTTATTAGGTCTCTAGTTAAACTGGCTGAAAAATGTCTCTGAGTTAGAATCTAAAGAGAGAAAGAAGGAACCAGCATAAATTATGGTAGATGCATGTTGATAAACTTTTATTTATGATTCTTTCCTTTTTTTCTTTCTAGATCCTGGTTCATTTAGGACTTTTGACAAAAGAATCTGGATTCAAGATTGCAGAGAATGCATTTAGTGGTGGCCCACTTGGTGAATTAGTCCAGTGGAGTGATTTAATTACATCTCTCTACTTACTGGGCCATGACATTAGGATTTCAGCTTCACTGGCAGAGCTCAAGGAGTAAGGAGATTACTTTCAATTTTGAAACTAGAGTACAAAAAAGAAATTGTAAACTCTTGAAGCCTCTATTAGCACAGTATATAATTTCTCGAAGAGGAAAATGAAAGTGATAACGCACTAAATGGTCGATAAGAAGATTATTTTCATGAGCTAAATATATACGCTGTGAAAAGGATAATGTATTTTCATTGTAGCTTCAGGCTCCTGAGACTTCATAACGGAATGCTGCAAGAATTCAAACTAAGCAGCTTATTTTTTATTAGTACAGGTGCTTTAAACATCTGCAGCAAGATGCATTAACTCTATGCCCTCTGTATGTTATTTCCTACTCAGCGTCCAGCTTTTTATATTCTTTAAATAAATTAATTTTGAGGAAGTTAATTTCTCTGAAAATGTTCATATTTGGCCAAATTTGCATCTTAGTCTCCTTTGTCTTATTTTTAGATTTTACACTACTTCTCTTATGTTCTTTCTAATGCACCTGTTGAAACTTTAACACTTGCAATTTTTTAACCTTTTGTTTTTACATATACAATAAAATTTGTGTTCTGCTGAGTTCTTGTAAGTAAAAATGTTGATAACATATTAGAAGGGATAGCCCAAACTGTTTAAAAATATTTTAATGTGCAAATTACTATTCTGTCTATATTGTATCTCCATTTAGACTAGATAAATTGTTCGGTGAAAAGATTCCAATATAAAAGTCTTTGTTTTCCTATACGTAATCCATTCTGTAGTAAATTTAGGGTGTCTTACTGGCTTTTAGCACTAAGGCTCAAGATTCCTTATATGCAGTTACCACTTCTTTCAAGTTAGATAAAGCAGTGACCAAAATGATTTTTTGAATGAGGATGGATTATCAATGCAGATATTATTTCCTGAATTCATGCGAAGTATTTTTCCTTCTCTCTCCTTTTTACATAGGATTATGAAGAAGGTTGTAGGCAATAGATCTGGCTGCCCTACTCAGGGAGACAAAGTGGTAGAACTCATTTACATTGATATCGTGGGACTCACTCAATTTAAGAAAACCCTTGGTCCTTCATGGGTACATTACCAGTAAGTGTTTATTCTTACCTGACCATTTGCATAAGCACTTTTACTAAGTGCTTGGGTAGCATTTCCCAGTAGTAGATGTACAAAATGCACACTCGAATGCTTTCTATGCTGAATTGTATTTATCTCAGAACTAAGCTCTTAAAAATAATTTTACGTGCTCAGTGGTCTTTCATTGTTGTTAAGAGAGCAACATAATAGAGACTTCCTTCACTTTCCTCTCTCAAACCATCTCTCTCTCCCTCCCTTAAAAGTTTCCAAGATAGCATATAGGAAATGCAAGGCAGCATTTTCAGAGTAATACTTTATACTACTGAAATTGAATATCCCACTTCAGTCTACTGCTGTCACTGTCTCTCTGGCTGTTTCTCTTCCTCCCTCGCTCCCTCTCCTTCTGTTTACTTCCATAAGTTATTTGTTCCCTACCATAAACTTAACTTTAAAAAGTACACAGGTGCAAATTGGATTTAGGTTTTCAGTCAAGATGCAGGTCAGCTTTTTTAATGTTAAAAAAACCATTGAGTCCACCTGAAAAATGTTGGACTGACAGCACTGGAAATTGAAGACTTCTCTTTAGCCTCATAAATAGTATTTTGCATGAACTGTAAAAATGCTACCTTTTCCACACTGTGCCACCAGATTATCTCAACCCCAAGCTGGAAAGATCCATCTTTTGGAATGAGTGGTGACTTCACTTTTCACATCACTTTTTGTGGCCCATTAAGTCTGATAAGGTTTTCAGTTGTGCTGACTTTTAAAACATTTGTCTGTTAGGAATGGAGCTGAGGTCACAAAATAGTGTTTTGCATAACCTTTCCATTGTAGGCATTTTAGGGGCCTGCCCTCTTTCAGGCAACAATTTTAAACCTACAGGTATATTGCCATCATTGCAAAATGTTTCTAGTATAAAAAGAAATCTAAGCTTTTGACTTGAAGGTGATTTATACTCTTGACTGTTTCTAAAGTATGCCTAATCAAGTTTCAGATGCTCTATGACCCAGATGATCGCAGTAAATCCTCTTTTAATCATATAACCAGAAAACGTAAGTTTAGCTTTTGTCCTGTCCTGCGGTTTTCTCCCAGAAGTTCTGTCTTTTCCAGCATAGTTTAAGACTCTCAAGATCAGGCTTTCAGATTAAATAATTTTCTCCTAGACACCTTAGAGAAAAATAATAGTTTGTTTTTAGCAGCGTACTAATACATCTAATCTGCTTCCCACTGAATTTTTTTGGTTGTCTTTCAGTTAGGTACACTTCTGTCATTAGGTCCTAATGGCAGCATTTGCACAATGTCATGGACAGAAGAACTTATTTATAAAATGAAATTCCCACTGCACTCCACCTCCCTTTTTTTCTTTCAATTTCCTATCTGGCATGTTTTCTAATGACAAGATGGAAATGTAGCATGGCACCAGCATTATTTGATTAGTTTTTCCATTTTTCCTGCTCATTTCATGAATCATTACATTTTAATGTCAATCTATTTTTCATTTTTTCCTAATTTCTGGTAATGGCCGATATTTTCCTAGTTTGTAAATTGTAGAATTAAATTTGACTCTAAACAAATTAGTGCAAAGTGCAATTTTTGTGCTTTGCTTTAGAAAAGAAGGTTGGGCTAGCACTGTCGTTTTCCCAGTATATAAGCACAGGGTAACATAAGCAATATGGCAACTTCTTTCTTAGTGATAGCATTTATTACTTGACATGAATTATTCCAATATAAAAGCAGAGTTTCCATGTTTTTAAGTGTATTCCTGGAAAATGAACACTATAATAATTGGAGCTGGTGTTACTGTCATTGTTTCTTTACTAATTGTTTTCTTCACTTAGTAATATTTAGACTCTTCAACATGAGCAGGTTTTTTTTGATAGAAAGAAGTGAAGAAAGCTTCTGAACTCACGTGCATTTGCTTTATACCAGTTACAGTCTCTAAGATGTATAAGCTGGCTAATTTAGTAGTTTATACAGACTAACCTGGGGATAATATTAAATTCAAACTTGGTGTTTATTTCAGATTGGAACAGAATGTTAGAATAAAACTTTGCTTTCAAAACACCTTTTCAGTATTAACTGCCATGTCATCTTTGTGAGACAGCAAGAGCTCAAATGAGGTTACTGATGATTACAAATTAAGTGCCTGGAGTTATAAAAAAAAAAAAGAAAGAAAAAAAGAAAAAAGAAAGAAAACCTACTGTTGAATATTTTTGGAATAAACTCAATCCTGATTTGTGTTTATGATGACCTTAGCACTAGAAACAGTGGTAATGAATGCTCTGCCTCTGATATTCCCTTTGGTGTAGATGTGAATGCACCAGAACTGATTTTGATTTTTAAGTATGGCATGTTTTAAAAGTTGAACTGCCTGGGCTATCAAGTCAGGAGTTAAAAAATATATACATCTTTGTGCAAACCTGTAAAGAACCCCTAGTCGTATTGGGGTTTGATAAGACTCTGATAATATACTTCAAAAATACAGTTTGAATGGGTACAGCTGCTTTGCCTTTATAAAGATGCACTTCTTCCATTCACTAGGTCAGTATCCAGCACATTTTACCTTTTCCTACATCTTTCCAATGATTCATTCTGTGTCAACCATCTAAGGCGAGATAGAAACATGACTGGTATTATGCAAGACTAGTATTGTGCAAACCTAGCAGCCTTCTTGCTTCTCCTATCTTGTATATAAAGAAGTCCTTAAACACCCTTTTAGGATTATGTTTTCTTAGTTATATTTTGACACTAGAAATGCAGGGGCTTTTACTAGTAGAATAATCTTTGTTTGCTGATAACAAATATTAGCAAAAGTGCTGATGGTAGAAGATGTTGCCAATACAAGCACAGTCAAATGATAAGCACTAGCTACTCAAAATGTAACTTCAAGTAGGAGAATTTGAATAAATATATAAAAATATTATTTTTATGATGAAAACTCACTACGACTGTTTGGAGGTCTAGTGTTTGTGAGGATTGATCAAACATTTTTTTTTCAAGAGAATAACTGTGTCCAGTCATCATGATCTCTCCTTATGCCAGAAAATTCATGCATCATTTCTTACTTTTTGAGAGACAGATAATGTTTGTATTCACAATTTAGTTTTTAAATCAGGCAAGTTTATAGTAGCCTGTATATTGATAGAAGAGGTGCTTCTGCCACACTTGAGTATCAGGAAGTTTAATACTAGCATAGTAAGAAGCAGGGGACATAATTTTGGTCTTTATTTTAATATCTGTCTGGATATTGTGAATCCTGAAAAGATGGTTTCAGAAACAGTAAATATATATAAAAAATCCTTTGTTCATTTTTAGAAGTCTGCTTTTTTTGGAAAAGGAGAGATTCCGCTGTCTCATTTTAAATAAAATCCATTAAGACTTGGTAGAACATAGCATAACCTTATCAGTCTTAGAGCAATTCAGAGGTGCTCTCTAATTGTTTGAATATCTGATAGCTAGAGCTGAGTGCATTTTTTCATCAAGTACTAAATTCCCTGATAAGCAGAGTTTCAGGAGGACTGAAGCTGTCAACAAGTTCAAATGGAATTAGAAAATAATTCTGGCTAAAAAAAAAAAAGAAAAAGGGGGGGGGGGAGGGACATTTCAAAGATACTAGAACATTTTTTTAAATGTTAAAAAAATCATTTTGAAAAAATTTGGAAAACACTAAATCATCTCATTTCTAAGTGAGGTTTTCATTAAAACATTTTAAAACATTAACCCAAATTGAAAAAAAAGTATAAAAGCTGGTTAAGCAACTTAAAAAAGGTAATAGAATATTTAACTTTGGGTTAAATTTAAATGTTTATTTCATTTTGGGCCAACACAAAATAAGTTGACTCAAATTGCCTGGATTCCCTGCTGCAGTTTGTTATTGCTGCACACATCTCCAGTTTTCTCTACCCGCTTGCTTGCTCTCTCACGCTTTCTCTCTCCCTCCCCTGTTTCTCAGTCCCACATCCTGTATTCGAGTAAACGTGTATTTATATTTCTTTGCTCCCTGGGTAGTTTTCTCCCTGGTTAGATCCCGTTGCAGCCTCCATTATGTTTGCCCCTTTCTCATTCTGCTGCTTCAGAGACTCTTTCAGAGAATCTTTACAGTTGCAAATCCAGCTCTGTGTATCACCTTGAACAGTTGGCACACTGTAAATCTAATACCAGGGGCGGGCAAAATATGACCTGCAGGCCAGATCTGGCTCACCAGGCCATTCTGTCTGGCCTGTAGGGCCCTTAAAAAAAAATTTAGTAAACTAATATTTATTTGCTCCTGGCTGGCTGTCAAAGTAGGACCCAGGGGGAGCCCTCAGCAGGACTGAGCAGCTGAGTCCTGCTCCGCCCCTGCCATTTCACTCCCTTCCTGCCCCCACCCTGCTCCGGCACCATGTGGTTCCTGGCTGCATCGCCGGACCAAGAGCATGGGGCTGCTCTGGTGCATGTGTTTTTAGGAAAGGGTAGAGTGTGTCTGTGTGTGTTCATAGGGCGAGTCTACATGCATACCACACCATACACACGCACCCTCACCCCCCCTCACACTGCCATACACACAGGCCCCCACATATCCACACCCACCCAAATGGTCCCTCACCCCATGTACCCACACACCCACAACCCTCCACAAACCTATACGCGCCCCCACAATATACAAGACTAAGACTTCATTTTAAGCTATTGTGCAATCACCTCTATGTACCCTGAACAAACGCGTATAAATCAGGACAAACATATTTTTTGAAATAAAATTAATGAATGCTGTAGATGTTGGCTTTTTAGAATATAACTTGGTATTTTTCTGGTTCCAAGGTAGCAAGACCCTTTGCTGAAAGGAGTACTTCCAGGGGCAAGGGGAGGGACTTCCGGTGGAAGAGGTCAGGGATTAGGACTTCTGGTCACAAGATGGCAACCAAGGGGTGGGGCACCTGTCAAGGGGCTACCCATGCGGCCCTTGACAGCTAGCCAAAACTCAGTAAGCAGTCCTCCACCCAAAATAATTGCCTGTCCCTGCCTAATACCCT